TCTCTCTCTCTCTCTCTCTCTCTCTCTCTCTCTCTCTCTCTCTCTCTCGGTACCCTTCTAAGCATGTATGTGTAAGTTATAATTGCTGGTAATGATATTTTGACATCTTTCTTGTGATTAATGATGTTGGAAGATATCTCTACATATAATTATCTCCTCCTTAGGTGTATATATATGTGTGATAAGATTACTGGTTATTGTATTTGTTGTAAATGAATAATTTTGGAATAGATATACATGTAGTTCTCCCTCTCACTGTCTCCTTACGTGTATTTGAATAAAAGGATTGTTGTCCTATGCTTTTCTTTATCTCATATTTAAGGTTGTGAATGAGGTGTGAAGTCAGTTTCCTTTGTGGGTCTCTCAATAGGTGTATTTGTTTCCGAAAAAAAGATAGTCGTTTCGATATTATTTGTTCTCTTTTATCTGATACAAATAATTGGGAAATTATTTTCCTTTGTGGGTAAAAAGATTGACATTTTTTATGGTATTTGATCTTCTTTTATCTGATAAAACCTTAAAAAGTTGACATCTTTCTTGCTAATTGTATGCATCTTATATGTTAATTAAAAGTTGCTAATGATTTTTTTTTCATCTATTAAAGATTAGGATCATAAGCCATGGCTAGTGAGGCACCAAGCTGGGCAGATCAATGGGGTGCAGGTGGGATCGGCGCCATTGAAGAAGAAAATGTTGATATAAAGAAGGACAACGATACCAACAAGAAAGGCTCAACAACATTTGGTAGAGCTAATTCAGTAGCGAAAGAAGGAGCCAAAAAACTGAAGAGTGGAACAACGAATGGGATCAAATGGATCAAGAACAAATGCCAAAAGAAAAATTCATCAAACTCAAAAGAATAATAAAGCTCTACCCTTTGATTTGTAACAAGATTTCATAATCAAGATTCAAAGTTGTATCAAGTTGTCAAAACTCAGTTAAGTCCTGTTTATTGGTTTTCCCATGCTTCGTCTGATTGATTGCTAATGCAAATTATATTCCATTAATGTTTTGTGTAGTCCTCTGTAATTCACATATCCCTATAAAGGCAAATATTATTTTATTAAGATGACACTAGAAAGTTGCTAGTGACATTTTTAGGTACATGATTGAGAAATTATATGAAAATCAGAAACATTGAGATTACATCAAGATGCCCAATCAAAAGATTGTATTTTCGACCTTTATGTGAGATGGATGACTCCTTATAAGTTTCGGGATAGTGTATTTCTGTGCGCAATGAACAAGAGAGTGGTTGTAGATTCCACCAAGTGTAAATGATTGAAGGAGTTTTTTACTAAAACATGGTAAGCATAAAAAATATTTTATCAATATATGGCACTTTAAAAACTATTTACCAAAAGATGGTAAATAGATGTAGACCCGTATTTTTTATTTATATTAAGAAAACGTAGAAAAGAAACAACATATCTCGTCTCCTTCTTCAATTTTCCTCATGGTCGACTCTGTTTCTTTTCCTTTTTTTTTATCGCCGGAGGCCCGGAGCATTATCATTTTGCTGTTAAAACAAACCAACAGTCCCTCCATCTCTCTTATATCCTCCGACTGCTGTTCAATACATAAAAACAGTTCGACTCTCTATAAAATACGTTGTGCTTCTTTAGATGATTACATCACTGTGATGGGCTAGCTGTTCAGAAGACGCAGTTGCCGGATTGTTATGGCTTATGGATTGCACTCGTTTTGTTTTTAGAGAAAATTTTTGTCCATACTGGTTGTGGGAATGTTCTTCCTAGACCTAGGAATGCACTGAATTATAAAATTGTAATATTACAAAATTGTAAACCAGAGGTTGGATGTTACTCATGGCAATGTTACTTGTAATATCTTGATAGCTTCATAGAACTTTGATTAATGATATTGGTACCGGTAGTGCTTTTGTTTGTTGTTTTAAATCTAGTTTTCTGAAATTTTCAATTGCATTTTTGTTTGGGTTTTTGTGGCCGGAAAATATGGCCGTGGGTAGAAATAGTGATGATGGTCGGAAACAATGGTAATGGTGGTGATCACTGATCAAGTTGTGAAATTAACAAGGGGTGGACGCATGATTTCATACTACCATTTTTTTACTAATTTTGTACTGTGTACATGGAAGTCAGACGTTGTCGCAGTGTAACATCCCCGTCTGACACGTGTCACAATATTGTCCGCTTTGGGCACCCGGCGCGAAAACTTCCTAGGAGGTCATCCCTGGATTGCTCCTGCCCGGTCACGCTTAACTGCAGAGTTCTTATGGGATTTGCTGCCCTCACGGTGTTGAAACGCGTTGTGACAAGGAATGTATCCACACCCCTTTTAAGGAAATGCTTCGTTCTCCTCCAAGCCGATGTGGGATTAGGTGCAACCCACCTTCACCCCCCATTATAGGGTCTGACGTCCCTGTCAAACACATCGACACATGCCCAAGCTCTAATACCATTTGTAACATCCCCCTCTGGCACGTGTCACAATATTGTCCGCTTTGGGCTCCCGCGTGAAAACTTCCAAGGGGGTCACCCATCCCTGGATTGCTCCCACCCGGGCACGCTTAACTGCAGAGTTCTTATGAGATATGATGCCCTCACGACTTTAAAACACGTTGTGACAAGGAAGGTATCAACACCCCTTTTAAGGAAATGTTTCGTTCTCCTCCAAGCCGATGTGGGATCAAGTGTAATCCACCTTCACCCCCCATTATAGGGTTCGACGTCCCTGTCGAACAAATCGACCCGTGCCCCAGCTCTGATACCATTTGTAACATCCCCCTATGGCACGTTTCATAATATTGTCCGCTTTGGGTCACTCGGCACGAGGACTTCCCAGGGGGTCACCCATTCCGGTACTACTCCCGCCCGAGCACGCTTAACTGCAGAGTTGATATGAGATCTACTGCCCTCACGGCTTTACAACGCGTTTTAAAGCCGTGAGGGCAGCAGATCCCATAAGAACTCTGCAGTTAAGTGTGCCTGGGCGGGAGCAATCCAGGGATGGGTGACCCCCTGGGAAGTTTTCGCGCCGGGAGCCAAAAGCGGACAATATTATGACACGTGCCAGAGGGGAGATGTTACACGCAGCCACTGTGAGACATATAACCGCCCTGAAATTAATGTGCCTCTCATTTTTTCAATGCACTCACCGGAACATGAATTAACTCGGAAAATAACATCGTCGACAGTTCGATCATTAATGAGTCAAGAATTAACTATGTAAGATTGGGAGCTTCCATTATTCACGGTAAGGAACATGGAAGAGAGAATAGGAGCGACATTTAATTTTATTTGGATAACCGCCAACAAGAGCCCTTACACCTCCGGTGAACTACCCATTCCCCATGATGAATCCTTGCATCATCGCATCATCCTACACAACATCGCTGGCAAACCCCATACCGTGATGAACACCCTTTGTTTCTAAAAGAGTTGGGTCTATTTGGTTTCTAATTTATTTAAAAATAGTTGAACTTATAAAAAAACATTTTTACCATGTTTGAACTCTTTAATCTAAAAAACGTAAAAAACGCAACCTTGGCAACTAGATTTAATGTGGGAATTTAACGCAATGAGACGTGCAGACGAAAGATTGCACTCACAATTTTGCAGTACAACAACTCTCGATTTTAATAGCTTTATCTCTAATGTTGGTCTTCATGATCTGAGAACAGGAGGTAGAAAATTTGCATGATGTGTGATGGTGGCCTCAAACTAAGTAAGCTCGACATCTTCCTTGTACGCTCGAACTTCATCTCCATTCAACCACAGTCTTTGGTTACTACACTCTTAAGGGAATTCTCCAATCATTCCCCTATCCTTCTTTGCTCTGATTCTCGACATTTTGGCCCATCATCGTTTCGATTCTTTAACTCCTGGTTACTTAGAGAAGTTTTTACCTCTATATTTCTAACCTCTTGCTCCTCGTTTATTGGATTCGATACATGATATGTACTTTTCTGTTAAACTATAATTTCTTAAAATAATCAAAAATGGAGAATCGACACTAATAACGGTGAATGGAAAGACACGCTTGAGCTACAAAAAATGGTGGAGGAAATTGACTCTTTGGCGGAATCAAGATCTTTAACCCGGGCTGAAATTGATGAACTTAGAAACGGGAAACAAAGGATCATTGAGCTTAATCACATCAAAAAACTCGATCTCCAACAAAAATCCTAGCTCAAGTAGCTGATAAACGGAGATGAAAACATAAGTTTTTTCACAGTACCTTAAAAAGTAGGTTTCGTAGAAACTGAATTCATGGCCTCTCAATAAACAGCTCCTGGACCTCATATAATTTGATCTTAAAAAATGAAGTCAAGGAATTTTTCAAACTTAAATTTCATGAAAACTGGCCTATCCGTCCCAAGCTAACCAACCTCCTTTTTTAAAGTGTTACCGTCGGCTCAATGCTCCTTACTTGAACCCCTCATTGATCTGTTAGAAGTTCAAAAAGACATCCAGGATTATGGTGGAGAAAAAGCTCCCATACCTAACAATTTCACCTTCAAGTTCCTTAAATCAAATTGGGAAATCTTGCAACACGATGTTATGGATTTTGTAAAACACTTATATACTTATGATATTTTCGCTCGGGGTGCAGCTCCTCCTTCATTACCCTTGTACCAAAACTCAAATACCCTATTATCGTTAGCGATTACCGCCCAACCTTATTGGATGCATGCATAAGATTATCTCTAAGGTCCTTGCTTCTAGAAATATAGGGGATATCGAGAATGTTGTTGATTCAATACAATCAACCTACATTGAGGGTAGAAACATCCTAGAGGGTCCTCTCATCATAACTGAAATTTGTTCATGGGTTAGGAAGGTAAAGAAAAAGATATTTTTATTTAAATCTGATTTCGAAAAAGCCTTCGACTAGGTAAGTTGGTGTGGTCACCTTAACTCGGTTATGAACAAATAGGATTTATTGTAAAATGGAAATCTTGGATTACCGAATGCCTTATCTCCTCTTGAGACTCTTTTTGATCAATGTCTCCCCCACAGATGAATTCCCCATCACTAAAGGGCGCCTCAAGGTGACCCGATTGCCTTCCTCTTTATTATTACAATGGAATGTTTGAATGCGTCTATGAAAAGGTGTGTGTGACAAATCCCTCTTTTACGACATAAATCTTCCTAATAGGTCCCCCACACCCCCCACTTATTCTATGCAGACGACACTACTTTTATAAGTGAATGGGATAGAGTCTATATCTCAAATTTAGCTCGCGTTCTTAGACGTTTTCACATAGCATCTGATCTGAAATTTAACTTTAACAAATCTTGTGTATTTTGCATTTGCACATCCGATCTCACAATCAAAAGGTAGATTCATATTCTTGGTTATTTCAAAGGATATTTGTCATTTACTTACCTTGGGGGTACCAATTGAAGCCAACATAGGTCTTAAAAACATCGGAAACCGATCATTGACAAATTTCACTCCAAGCTACAATCTTGGAAGGCTAAAACTTTATCATTTGTTGGTCATTTAACACTTAGAAAATTCGTTCTCAAAGTATCCCCACCTACTACTTCTCTATTTTCAAAGCTCCAAATGTCATCATTGATCATCTTGAAAGAATTTTACTAAAGTTTCTTTAGGGTGGTATCGAGGACAAAAAAAATCTATTTACTAGTTGGCTAGGTAAAAAATCACTACTCCTTAGTGCAAAGGAGGTCTAAGGGTTGGATGTCAAAAAACCCATAACTAGGCATTACTCTCCAACTGGTGGTAGAGACTTAAAACATGTCGAAAAAGTTTATGGAGAGACACTATTTTTAACATTCAAAACTTGAAAAACCGTCCTCTTGATGTCATTGCAAAGAAATTGGCCGATGGAGTTTGGAATAATATCTCTAAAGAT